GCCCTCTGCTGCCCTTGAATTTTTTTTTTTCCTTTTTGGGTAATACCCCATGATGCACAGGGGTTACTCCCCCCTGGCTTTGCACTCAGGAATTACTCCTGGCAGTACTCGGGGGACTTACAGGATGCTGGGAATTGAACCCAGGTCGGCCACGTGCAAGGCAAACGCCCTCCCCTCTGTGCCATCGCTCCAGCCTGCCCTTGAACTTTTCAGTGATTTTCCCACAGTGCTCTGAGAAATCAGGTGGTGCTCCTGTTGGTCATGTCTGCACCGAGCCACTCTGGTCAATAATTTTTGAAGCCGGGGCCCCCGTGAGACACCTGGTGCTTTTTGGAGGTTTTGTGACTCAGATCTTGCCCTCTCTGGGGGAGTTCTAGGAACTCACAAGTGGCAGCGAGTCTGAAGTTGAAACTGTTCCCCTGAGGTCGGTCACAGCTGTGGGGAGCATCTCAATTTGCATTTTCTCCTTGCTGGATTGTGCTAGAAAGGGTCGCTCTCACTTGGAGCCTGGCTGGATTCTTCTCTGTCCCTTTGATATTTTTGTTTTGGGGCCCACTCTTGGCGATGTTCAGGGGTTGACTCCTGGCTCTGCACTCGACGGACCGTACATAGGAGGCTGGGGATCGAACCTGGGTCAGCCACGTGCAAGGCGAGTGCCTTCCCCACTGTGCTATCACCCTGGCCCCTAAACTGACTTTCTTTATGGGCTTTCCCGGAGGCCCTGTGGACAGAAAACTTGGCGGATGAGGGAACATGGTGGGAGCTTGCACGTAGTGGAACCATCTCGGGTATAGATGGTGCTTTGCTCCCAGTTTGTTTGTTTTTGGCTCTTGGGGTCACAGCCAGCGATGCTCAGAGGTTACTCCTGGCTCTGCACTCAGGAATTACTCTTAGGCTAAGATCAAACCCAGGTAGGCCTTGTGCAAGGCAAACGAGCTCCCCACCGTACTAGGGCTCTGGTCCCACTTCCAGTTTTTTTTTTTTTTTCGGGGCGTTGGGCCACACCTGGTGGTGCTGAGCTGAGGGCTTACTCCAGGCTCAAGGGACCCTATGGGGTGCCAGAGATAGAACAGGGTCTGGGGGCTGGAGCGATAGCACAGCAGGTAGGATGTTTGCCTTGCATGCAACCAACCCAGGTTCAATTCCCAGCATCCCAAGCACCACCAGGAGTAATTCCTCAGTGCAGTGCCAGGAGCATCGCCAGGTGTGACCCAAAAAGCAAAAAAAAAAAAAAAAAAAGAAAAAGAAAAAGAAAGAACAGGGGCTGGCTGTGTTCTAACCCTCTTGCCCCCGCCTGGCCTCACTTTGGACCCACCCCAGCAGCCTTCATTAAAAATTTCCCTCTGGGGGTATGTGGACCCCACTCCGATCTGGGAGTCTTTGTGAGTGGAAGGGGTGAGGGTTTGTGGGTAGCAGGAGGCCAGGGCAAGAAGGGGGTCAAGGCGTGAGATGAAAATCTTCCCAGGCCCGGAAAAAGACAGACCCAGGCCTTTCCCACGGTCCCCTAGGGGACTTCCAGGAAGCCCCCCCAATAGGAGACTGACGGCTGGGGGCGGGGTCCAAGCCTGTCCAGAGAACATCTTTCCCAGTTTCATTTCTTATTTGGGGGTGGGGGGGCCCAAGTGGTGCTAAGGAGGCTTGGAGCCCCCCCACTGAGTCTGCCCTAGGTTTCATTGTTCGGGTTTGTGGTGCAGAAATTCCAGCCCCCGCCCCCCCCCCCCCGCCAGCTCTGCACGTCATGGGGGACCCAACACTTGCAGCCCCCTAATAGCCATCCCACTTTCAGGGCCCCCATGGCCAAGGCCAAGATTTTCCTTTTTTTTTTTTTTTTTGGCTTTTTGGGTCACACCCGGCGATGCACAGGGGTTATTCCTGGCTCATTCATGCACTCAGGAATCACCCCTGACAGTGCTCGGGGGACCCGATGGGATGCTGGGAATCGAACCCGGGTCGGGTCGGCCGCGTGCAAGGCAAACGCCCTACCCGCTGTGCTATCGCGCCAGTCCCACCCAGCATTTTTTTTATGCTTCAAGTGACAGTGGAGGTGGAGTAGGGTGGGGTGGGCTGGGGAGGGGAGGGGGCCCATCTGGTTCACCGGAGACCCAAGGAAACTCGAGACTGTCACTGCGGGTCGGTTAATTCACGTTGTATTAACTATTCCACGGGATATTAAAACACGGCGGGAGAATGGGGGGTTTGGCCACGCGCGCACGCGCACACGGGGAGTTTCTGTAAAAATTGTGAACCCGGAGCCCCAGGCACAGCTGGGGTGGAAGATGAGAACCCCCCGGGCCTGAGAGTGTCCCGGCGGGGTCCCCTGGGGGTGAGCGGGCAGTGTCGGAGGGATAGGGCTGGGGATCTTCCCAGGGAGATCCCTGCACCTGTGTGTGTGTGTGGGGGGGGGCAGTCACTTCCGAGGGGGCGGCTGATGGCCTTTTCCTGGTCCTGCCCCCTCCGAGAAGGGCCTGAATTGCCGGCAGAGGTGGGGCTGTCCAGGATGCAGGGGACACGCCAAGGAACAGGCCACACTGGGCCCCTCAGGGTTAAGATTCTGGAGACTGGAGGTCAGGCCCTGAGGTGACAGTAACAAGGTGGCCAGGGAGAGTGACACCCCGTCTTCAGCCTGTGTCTCATGGGTGCCCTCACTTTCCCCATGTTAAGATCCTGGCTTCCACACCCCCCCAAGGCCCCCCAGAAATGTCCCCATCTTCCTGCCGACGTTCCCCACCCCTGCGAGCACTCTCTTACGAACACCTTCAATTCTGGGGTCCCCCTGGGGACCTGAAGACTCAGGCCAAAGGGCGAGAAGCACAACGGGTGCAGGGAGGGCCTGGGGGGGAGGCGGAGTGATGGGGGCTCCCCCTCCTCGCAGTTCCAGTTTACTCAGGGCGGGGGGGGGGGGCGGGGGTTGGGGGTGGCGTGGGAAGGTGGGTGGATGTTGGCTGGTCGAGCCCCAAGCGGGGTGGAGGGGGTGTGAACTTGAGGGATCCTGTCTTGTCCCCCTCAGCCTAGGTGGCCCTGCTCTGCTGGCTTCTTGGGGGGGGGCACTGGGAGGGGCACAGTTAGGGCTGGGCTTGGCACAGGTGGCAGGCAGGGGTGGGGGGCAGACGTGGGCAGTTGAGGGGTGCTCCTGGCTCTGAGCCGGAACTTCCATGGGTTCTCAGGCGTCCTGGGGGCGGGAGGGGGCCTTGCACGAAGGTACCTTGGGCTCGAAGGATTAAGGCCTCTTTCGCAGACAAAGGGGGTGCTGGTGCGCTGGCACCCCGATGGCTGGTGGGGAGGGTCGGGCACGGGGGGCATCTCCCCTTCTGCCTCCCTCCCCTTGGCACCCCCAGCTGGGACAGACTTGGGGTGTCTGTCCTGCCGGGCACAGTGTGGCCAGGAGCCCGGGGAACTTGGCAGCCGACGCCCCTGGTCTAGCCATAAGTTTGGAGACGCCCCAAAGCTCCTGGTACTCCCGGACCTGCCGAGGAGGAAGTCTGAGCCCTCCACACTGACGCCCCCGGAGTGCAGCCCCCGCCCCTCCCTCTGCACTAAAGCCTTCTCAGCAGGGGAGAGCTGAGGCAGGCCATCCGCAGGGGGTTGGGGGTGCACAGGCGTGGGGAACCCCAGGCTGGGCTGAGGGGGACGGCCCAGGACCCTCTGAGCTCGCCAGGGCCCACAGGCAGAGAGCATAGCTCACCTCATTGCTTCTTTTTTTTTTTTTTTCCTCCCTTTGTCCTATTTTGGGCCACACGCAGTGAGGTTCAGGACTGACTCCTGGTTCTGTGCTCAGGAATCACCCCTGATGGTGCTCAGGGGACCCTGCGGGATGCTGGAGATCGAACCCGGGTTGGCTACGTGCAAGGCCAGTGCCCTCCCTGCTGTAGTATCACTCTGGCACCTGTAGCTTATTTTTGGCCACATCTGGTGATGCAGAGGGGTCACTGCTGGCTCTGCGTTCTGGAATTACACCTGGTGATGTTCGGGGGGCCTATGGGGTGCCGGGGATCGAACTCAGGTTAGGTGCGTGCGAGGCAAGCGCCCTCCCTCCCTGCGGTACTATCGTTCTGGCTCCTGTTGTTTTTTATTCCCTGAGGGGCCCCTTACTTCAGGGTGGGACCCTTCAGTGGGGGGGCTGGGAGAAAGGGGGTGTGCCTGCCCCCCCCACTGCCTGCTCCTTTGAGATAGTGAAGAAAAGAGGGGGGCGTGGATGATAGGTCCCCCACTGAGAGCTGAGTCTGACTCCAGTGAACCACAAGTCCCCTCACCTGACAATGTGTGTGTGGGGGACTCAAGTGAACAGGCCAGAGCCGTGGGCAAGGCTGGGTTTCGGGGACACGCGTGCTCATGCCTGGGGCCTCTGCAGGTACCTCCAGATCCCTTGGCCCTTCCGTGGAGGCTCCGGGTGGCACCGACCCCCACAGCCTATGATCTGGGTCATTTCCGGGCCCAGGGTGTTCTCTGGGGGGAGGGGACACCAAGTGAGATACGGTGAGATAAGTGCTATGGGGAGGTGACACTTGGTGACATGGGCGGGGGCGGGGGGAGGCATCACACACTGAGTCCCCCAGGACCCCCGATCCTCTTATGGGTGGTCGTGGTTGGACAGTCAGAATCTGATGGGTTTTTTTTTTGGGGGGGGATTGGTTTGCACCATACTCATTGGTGCTCAGGGCTGACTCCTGGCTCTGTGCTCAGGAGTCCCTCCTGGTAGGGTTTGGGGGACCCTATGGGATTCTGGGGAACGAACCTTGGTCGGATGCATGCAAGGCAATCACCTTCCCAGCTGTTTTGTGTCTCTGACCCCAGAATCTGACCCTTGCGTTTTTTGGGGGGAGGAGGGGTACACCCCATGGTGCTCAGGCTGTTTCCTGGCTCTGTGCTCATGAGTGACCCCTGGCCGTGCTCAGGGGACCATACTGGGTGCTGGGGATTAGACCCAGGATCTTGACCACCTCTGCGGGCGCTCCCCCAGCCCCAGGAGGATCTGATCTGATTTAAATAAGGAGGCGAGATCCCGCTGGCCCCTCTCCAGACCCTCCAGGTTCCTTAGGTCACCCACCCCGCCCCTGCCCCCGTGAACCCAGCTTCCCCAAAGCCGTCAAGGCGGAGACGGGGCGTGGGTCTGGGCACAGGGGGCGGGGAGTGGGGCGGCAAGGGGGTCCACCCTGCGGCCCCCTCCCGGCTGGTCCGGTGCCGGCACCCCCATCCTGGTGTGGCCCGAGGGACGGTCACCGGGGCGCGCGGGCATCTCGCGGGGTGGGAATGTCCATGTCCGGCCTGGGGACGCCTTCACCCCATCTGGGAGCCCGCATGCATTCCTGAGGGGAACGTGCGGGGGGGAGTTTCGGGGGGCTTGGCTTGGTGAGGTGGGGGGCCCTGAACGAGAGAGCGGGGTGGCTGAGGGACGCGAGGGGCACGGCTATAGGATGATACACGGCTTCTTGTCCTTGAAGGGGTTCTCGGAGGCGGGGACCCCGACCAGCAGCGGGTCGTTGCGGGCGTGCTGCTCACAGTAACTCATGAGCTCGGACGACGCTTTGGACACCTGCGGGAGAGGCAGAGGGGACAGACGGGGACTTAGAGGCTCGGCCCGGCCCCGCCCCCAGATCGCCGCCAGAGCCAGGCCCCGCCCCCAGAGCAACCCCAGGCCCCGCCCCCGGATCAACTCTAGAGCCAGGCCCCGCCCCCAGAGCAACCCCCAGGCCCAGGCCCCGCCCCCGGATCGCCGCTAGAGCCAGGCCCCGCCCCCAGAGCAACCCCCCAGGCCCAGGCCCCGCCCCCGGATCACCTCTAGAGCCAGGCCCCGCCCCAGAATCACCTCTAGAGCCAGGCCCCGCCCCCAGAGCCAGGTCCCGCCTCCAGAGCCCCCCCAGCCCAGGCCCCGCCCCCGGATTGCCTCCAGAGCCAGGTCCCACCCCAGAAGATCCCCAGAACCGGCCCCGCCCACCCCGTCTAAGTCACTATAAGGTCCCCCAGGCCCTGCCCACCCGTTTCCACCCACCTATAAGGCTCTGCTCCAGCCCCACCCACAGCCAGACCACGCCCACCCTCCCCACCAGACTCTGCCCTAGCCCTACCCCTTCACCAGGCCCCGCCTCTAGCCCCACCCCTTCTCCAGGCCCGGCCCACCGCAGTTCCCTCCCATTGTAAGGCCCCACCCGCCTTCATTCGCTACCAGACTCCGCCCTAGCTCCTCCCTCTTCAGCCGGCCTCACCCCACCCTCAGTTCAACCCCCTCAGACCCCTGCCCCATAGCTCCCCAATGCCCCCCCCGCGGGACACAGCCTCCAAAGTGAAGGGACACGCAGGGCTACCCCAACCCGGTATTCCCTTAGGTCTCGAAGGGGCGGGCAGCTCTGATGCGCCCTTCTCAACTGCGTGGTTGCCCCAGTTGAGAAGTAGGGGGCTATGAGGAGAGAGCCAGATTCCCAGGGTGGGGTCCCAGAGATAGAAACATCTGTAATAGGCCCCTTACAGGCCCCTTCCCTCTGCAGACAGGATGTGGGAGTGGGGGGCTGGTGGCTGGGGAGGAGGGTAGGTGAGTTGCGGATAGGGTTGGCGTTTACCCGCCTTTTTTTGGGGGGGTGGTTTATATCTGGCGATGCTCAGGAATTACTCCGAGCTCTGCACTCAGGGAATCACTCCTGGTGGGCTTAGGGACCATATAGGATGCTGGAGATCGAATCTGGGTCAGCTGTGTGCAAGGCGAGTGTCCTCCCTGCTATACTATTGCTCTGGGCTGAGATGCTCTTTCATTTATTTATTAATTTTTAATTTTGGGGTCACACCCAACCATGCTCAGGACTTACTCCTGGCTCTGTGCTCAGGACTTACTCCTGGGCAGTGCTTAGGGAACCGTCTGATGAAAGGGATCGAACCCTGGGTCGGCAGCACGCAAGGCAAGCGCCCTCCTTAATGTACTGTAGCTCTGAATCTTGACGTCCATTTTATTTTTTTTTTCTTTTTCTTTTTGAGTCACACCCGGCAATGCACAGGGGTTACTCCTGGTTCTACACTCAGGAGTTACCCCTGGCAGTGCTCAGGGGACCATATGGGATGCTGGGTATCAAAACCGGGTTGGCTGTGTGCAAGGCAAACGCCCTACCCACTGTGCTATTGCTCCAGCCCCCTGATGTCCATTTTCATGTGTGTTTGGGTCCTGGGCTGAGTTCTGACTCTGCACTCAGGGATCACTCCTGGCGTGGTTCAGGGAACCATGCAAGGTGTCAGGGATTGAACCTGGGTCGGCAGCGTGCAAGGCAAGTGTCCTCCCCACTGTCTTGTCTCTCCTGACCCCGGAAGGGCTTAAGACTCAGAACGCTGGGGCTGGAGTGATAGCACAGGGGGTAGGGCGTTTGCCTTGCATGCCGCCCGACCCGGGGTTCGATCCCCAGCATCCCATATGGTCCCCTGAGCACGGCCAGGAGTAGTTCCTGAGTGCATGAACCAGGAGTAACCCCTGAGCATTGCCGGGTGTGACCCAAAAAGCAAAAAAAAAAAAAAAAAAAAAAAGACTCAGAGCGCTGATCTCAGTGACTGAAGTCTGGGGGAGGTCTCCTGATCCGGCAGACCTGCACCCCTGAACTCCCAAGGATGCCCCCACTTTGTTCTAAGCTGCTGAAAGCCTTGCTTGGGGGTGAGCCGGTGTGAGGAGAGGGGCGCTGGGGCCCCAGAGAGTGATAAGGCAGAACCTCGGGACAACCCCATTTCGGGGACCCACTGGGCTTGGAAAGTTGCCCCACGGGACAAAAATAGTCTCTGGGCCCCTGAAAATAGCTGCGTGGTGGTGACTGGCACGGGGCCCTGCCCACGGGCTTGGCAGGATGGCCTGGTTCCCCCCCATCCCCCGTGTTGTGGCCGGGCCGGCTCTGCGGTTCTGATGGCCCATTTGGCGGCCCCTCGCACTTCCAAAGGGGGTTCCTCGGGAACATCAAAGGAACCATGAATCACCCGCCCCGGCTGGCACAGGCTCCCAGAAGAAACCACTTCAACCGGCTCTCGGGCTTATTCAGCCCCAGGAACTCGCCGCCAGAGTTCTGGAACATTCTGACTCCTGGGTGTGGGGGACGACACACATAATCTCCCTCCCTGGCTGGGCTCAGTTGCTGCCACCCTCTCCCCCACCCCCAACGCCCACCCCCGCCCCAGGGTGCCTGTGCTTTGGGACACCCAGCCACCAGGTCTGGATGCGGGAGAGCTGTGATTGTTTGCTGTTGTTTGGGTCTTGGCCCTCCACGCCCGGCAATGCTCAGGGCTGACTCCTGACTCTGTGCTCAGGGAACACTCTTGGTGATGCTCGGGGGACCCTAGGGGATGCCGGGGATCGAACCTGGTCGGCCACGTGCAAGGCAAGTGTCCTCCCTGCTGCGCTATTGCTCCGGCCCAGAGCTGTGATTTCTGGGTCCACCTGGCTGGGCGTCCTATTTTGTGTGTGTGTGTGTGTGTGTTTGTGTCTCAGGGGTGACTGTTGGGCTGAGGAGGGGGAGCACAGTGACTGCCATGTGCAACCCTGACCTCAATTCTGAACCTCCTCATGAATCCCCCCCAGACCTACCGGGTGTGGCCCTGGGACCCCAAGCACCTTGGGGCTTCAGTACTGAACCCCCAGATCTGCACAGAGTGGGCGTACCACCTGGATAGCTCCTGGGATCCCCACAACCCACTGCAGGGATCGCCATGGGGTGTCCCCACATATCCTTATTTTTGGTTTTGGGGGCCACACTTGGATATGCTCAGGGCTGACTCCTAGTTCTGTGCTCAGGAATCACTCCTGGTGGGCTCGGGAGATCATTTGGGGTGCCGGGGATTTAACCCGGGCTGGCCATGTGCGAAGTTCACTATCCTACTGGCCCTTGTTTATTTATTTATTATTTTGTGTGGGGAGCACACCCAGTCATGTTTTCTCTCCAGTCCCTGGCCCCTATTTTAAAATGTATTAATTTAGGGGGCCGGGATGATAATACAGTGGGGAAGGCACTGTGTTCCTGAGTCCAGGAGCGATTCCTGTGTGCAGAACCAGGAGTAACCCCTGAGTACTGCTGGGTGTAGCAAAAATAAAATTTTATTTAGGGTTTTGGGGGCCTCCTTGCTGTACTACCACTCCAGGTATATATGTACATGTAATACATATGTACATATTATATATATGTAAATCATTTAATATAAACATGTATTTTAAAGGTTATCTTGAACCTCTGTACAATTCAGCAAGCTCTGGCCTGTGGGTGGGCCGCATCTCATCAGTGGACGGCCTGCAGGCAGGACTGCTGTCCCAGGGGCCCTGGCACTCGGGCTGTGCTGTCCACACTCCCCTGGGCTGTCAGTCAAGCCTGGAAGATTCTGGGTTTGCCACTTGTGGACTCGTGTGTGGGCCAGTTCCCTCACATCATGCCATCTCTGTCCACACACACGGTCACATGTTACTGAACAATGGGGACATGTGACAAGCTCTGAGAGTGTGTCACGCCCTTGTCACCGTGCGCAGGTCCTGTGGGGCAAGGGCGCAAGTCATGGAGCAGCCCAGGATGCACCTGGTAGATGGCAGAATCCTTGGGAATCCTCCCTACCCCGTCTCTGTCCCCCACAGGTCCCTGGAGGACAAGGACTGTCAAGTGACACTTGACTGTCCACAGGGGGACACGTGCACAGAGGCGTGGGTGTGGATGTGTGCACACGAACAGCCTCACACACACCAACATACATACTGACACACGCACGTTAACACACTCACAGCAACATCATCACACACATATAATCACAGTCACACAATCACACACTCTCACTCACGATATCGCACACTCTCACAACCACACTCTCGGTCACACAATCAAACACTCTCACTCACACAACCACACACTTTTAGTCACACAATCACACACTCCCACATAATCACACACTCTCACAGTCACACAATCGCACACTCTCACACAATCTAACAGTCACACACTCTCACAGCCACGCAACCGTACTCTCGCGGTCACACAATCACACACTCTCGGTCACACAACCACACACTTTTGGTCACACAATCACACTCTCACACAACCATGCACTCTAACATAGTCACACACTCTCACAGTCCAGCAACCACACAATCACACCTTCTCACACACATACACACCATCTCACACGCTCACATTCACACACACACTCATGCTCGCACACATGGACACTCTCAGACACTCACACACTCTTGCATTCCCACACACTCACACTCTCTCCCACAATCACACTCCCACACAAACTCTCCCCCACACTCACACTCTCGCACTCACACTCTTCCCACACACTCTCTCACTCCTACACTGTCACCCTCACACCCTCACACACACACACACACACACACACACACACACTCTTCTGCGCTCCCACACTCCCATACTCTCTCTCTCTGGCACTGTCCCCGTCCCTGGCTGACCCCGAGTGCCCTGTGTTTGGGCAGGGCTGACTCCCAGCCATGCCCCCTGGGGCTTCTAGATGGAGGCTCAGACCCCCGTGGCCCTCCGCCTTGGGGACGTGCGGGGACCTGGCGTCAAGTCCCTCATGAACGTCCGTCATCCGTCCCCCCGCCCACATCCCCACCGGCTGCCCCTGGGCCTTGAAGGACAACCCCTGCCTCCCCACTTCATGTGGACACGTCCAGGACCCAGAACACCCAGGGAAAGACCAGCCCCCAACCTCCCGGGGGAGGGTCCCAGGGACAGACACACCCAGGGCAAGCCCCTCCCACCACAAACAGGAAGTGGCTCAGGGGCCCATAAATCTGGGAGGCCTGATGATGGATGGGGAAGCGCTTGCTTTGGGGGGGATGGGATGGGATGTCCTGGGACCAGGCGGGGGGGGGTCCTATCGGTGAAATGTGCTGAATCGTGCCTTTTTGAGGTTCGCTTCGGAGCCACACCCAAGGCTGACTCCTGGCTCTGTGCTCAGGAATTCCTCCCAGCGGTACTTGGGAAACTCTAGGGGACCTTGGGGATGGAACCCAGGGGCCCTCGCCCCCCCTCCCCAGCGTTTTGCAAACTCTTGGGGGAAAAAGAGGATCTAGGAGCAGGCCCGAGGGTAGGACGCAGGGCTGGGGTCCCGTGCTGCCCCCCACTCTACAGAGCTCACTCAGGGCCCCTGCTGCGTTCGGAGGCTGGGACGGCCTGTCCTTTTCTTTTTTTAGCCTGAAAAGCAAACACGCTTATTTCAACAACAACAAAAATTCCAACAAGGTCCAAGTGAAGAAAGAAGCTGGTGATGGTCCGGAGGGCACGGGCAGGGCTAAATCTCCAGAGAAGGTTCTGGAAGGAGTGTGTGTGTGTGTGTCTGTGTGTGGTGGTATTGGTGGTGGTGGTGGTGATGGGGGGTCCTGCAATGCTGACGCTGCCACCCTGTGGGTTCACGTTGGCTGCGTCTTGGCATCGTGGACACTCAGGCTGGGAGAGCTTGGCCCAGTGGCTACACAGCGAGGACGTCCCCCTTCCCCATACCCCTAACTCTGTCCCCCAACCCCGCGCACCTTGATTCTCTCGATCCCGGCCTCGATGCGGAGCTGTTCCACCAGCTTCCGGGCTTGGGCGATGTTGTTACTGGTGGACATTGTCTGCCATCAGCCTGCGCCCCGATGTCCAGAGAGCTGAGGGAAGGAGGAAAAAGACAGCTGAGTGGACCCCTTCCAGAAACTGCCTGCCAGGACCACCCGGGTATGGACCCCACAGGGAGAAGGGGATGGGATCCCCACGGGGGGAGGCCCCTGTCTGCGGCTCAAGGTCCATCACCGGGTTGGGGGCTGGAATGATAGTACAGCAAGGGAGGGTATTTGCCTTGCACGCGGCCGACGAGGGTTCGATTCCCAGCATCCCATAGGATCCCCCGAGCACCACCAGGAGTAACTCCTGAGTGCATGAGCCAGGAGTTAACCCCTGTGCATCGCCGGGTGTGACCCAAAAAGCAAAAGCAAAAAAAAAAAAAAAGTCCATCACCAACGGGGAGAGGAAAGGACACTTACCCTTCCTCCCTCCCTCCCTTCCTCCCTTCTTCCTTCCATCCTTCCCCCCATGTGGACCGGGTATCTAGGGGAGCCCATTTGGCCACCAATAAAGCTCACCCTCGACTGCCTTCAGCTAAGCCTCATGGCTCGGAAGGCTGGTGTGTGTGTGTGTGTGTGTGTGTGTGTGTGTGTGTGTGTGTGTTGTGTGGGTAATGTTTCTGTGGCACCCATCCTGCTCCTGAGCTGTCGGCAGCCCTGCACCCCAGAGGACTGCCTGTCCCCCACCGTGGGGGTTTGCTGTGGGGAGGTGGGGTCGCACCCGGCAGTCCGGGTGGGGGGGGGAACCACCCTGGAGCTCCCACAGGCACAGATTCCCGTTGCAGGGGCCCACTTGATGAGCAGCGGGTCTAGGGCGTTGGCCGGAGCATCGCCAGGAGTGACCCCTGAACACAGGGGCAGGACCAAGCCCTGAGCATCTCCGGGTGTGGCCCCCAAACAAAGCGAAATAGAAAGGTTTTCTCAGACTTCCCAGGAGTGCGGGAGGCTGGTGGACACGGAGGAGCAGCGGTAATTCCCGCAACGACACGGCTGCACTGCACTGGCGGGAAGCCTCACATATACCTGTCCGTACCCCCGCCCCCCCCACCCCCGCCTCCCGCGCGCACCTGCACGCATGCGCACTCGTGGATTAAAAAGCCTGCACAAGGGGCTGGAGCGATAGCACAGTGGGTAGGGCATTTGCCTTGCACGCGGCCGACCCGGGTTCGATTCCCAGCATCCCATATGGTTCCCTGAGCACCGCCAGGAGTGACTCCTGAGTGCAGAGCCAGGAGTGACCCCTGTGCATTGCCGGGTGTGACCCAAAAAAGCAAAAAAAAAAAAAAAAAAAGCCTGCACAAGCCGCTGGGCCGCGGGTGCTGGGCGCTGGAGCGGCTGTTCCGGGGACACCGGCGTGCAGCCGTCCACCGGGCACGGCTCCCTGCTTCCCGGCAGCCGCCCGGCGCCCCTGTGGGTGAGTGGAGGCCCTTGTGTCTGCCCGGGACCCACGGAGCCCGTGCCGGAGCTTCCAGAGAGTTCTGATTCAGCAGACGGCTTCAAAGCGGCCACAAAACATCCCAGTCAGAGAAAACCGCCCTCGGGTCGCCTTAAAAATACCCAAATTACTCAGCGCTAAATATAGACGCGTCCCCGAGAACAAACGGTTGGCCCCAAAGACGTGTTTGCCTTGGCAGACTGGGGCGTCCTGCCCAGCCTCGGCGCGGCCACCGCCACCCAGGAACCCGGCCACCCCGTGAGCTACCTCTGACCACGGTGCCCTCGTAGGCTTGAGGTCCCCAAGCGCCCGGGGTGGGGGGGAGCATTTTCTGCCACCCCCCAAAATGCCCCACGTGCTCCCCCCCAGGGGGGCACTGCACCCCCGACTCTGAGCATGGTCAGAGATGGACAATGCAGGGCTACATGTGCCTGCGTGTCTGCATGCATCAGCATATCTGCACACGTGTGTGTGCACGTGCAAGCATGTTTGTGAGCACAGGACACATGTACAGACACACATGCACACAGGACACGTGTGTAGAGAGAGCGCACACGCACACACATGTAACATGGCACCGCATGTAGATGGGCCGTGCATGTGTCCTACATGTGTTCACACACATGCACATGTACTCACAGGCACTGTGTGTAAATGTCCACCCTGTGTGGGTGGATACACCTGCACACCGAGGCGCAGGGCTCATGTGACAGCGTGCTTGGGTGGCTACCCCATGTCCGGATGTTTCTGCCCCTGTGTTGCCATATGTCTGTTCTAGCAGTCACCTCATGTGGCTGTATTCAGGGGAGCAGAGTGGCCATGGGGGGTCATGCACCCACTTGTGGGTGAGCCTGGATCTGCCCAGATGCTCACAATCCTTTGGGGTTTTTTTTTTTTCCTTTTTGGGTCACACCTGGTGATGCACAGAGGTTACTTCTGGCTCTGAACTCAGGAATTCCTCCTGGCGGTGCTCAGGGGACCATATGGGATGCTGGGAATTGAACTTGGGTCGGCCGCCTGCAAGGCAGACACCCTACCCGCTCTGCTATCGTTCCAGTCCCAATCCTTTGGTTTTTGTTTTGTTTGGGGGCCACACCTGTGTGGTGCTCAGGGTCAACTCCTGGCTCTGTGCTCAGGAATTGCTCCAGGTGGGGCTCGGGGGAACTTGCGGAGTGCTGGAGATCAAAGCCAGGTCGGCAAGCGCCTTGCCCGTTGTTTGTACAATCACTCTGGCCCCTTCACGAAGACATTCGCTTGCATTTTCCAGTTCTGCTTTGGAGCCATGCCCGGCGGTGCTCAGGGCTGACTCCTGCCCCTGTGCTCAGAGATCCCTCCTGGCGGGGCTGGGGGGGACCCTGGGGGATGCCGGGGATCGAACCTGGGTCAGCTACGTGCCGGGCTGGCGCCCTCCCCACTGTCCTGCCACTCCGGCCTGCATGTAGACTTGCCTGTGTGCGTGCGGGTGCCCGGGTGTCGTCAGTGCCCGCGTGCGGCCAACTCATGGCCTGGCCTGACTCAGCCTGAGCTGAGCCCTGGGGAGGTGGCAGCGGAGCAGCTCAGTGCTGAGTCAGCGGCCCAGACTCCCCCTCACGTGACACCAGGGCACCCTCACCAGGCCCGGGATGGAAGTCGGGGCGGGGGGGGGGGGGGGGCGCGGGCGGGCGCATTTGCAGCCTCCTGGGAGGCAGGGGCCGGGTCAGGCCTGGCAGGGTAACTTGGGGTGAGAAGCATCTAAAAATAACTGCTGAGTGGCTGCCAGGCCTGGGCGGGCCTCCCGGGAAAGGGCGAAGAGGGCATCGGGGATTTTTTTTTTTCCTGGTTTTTGGGCCACACCCAGTGATGCTCAGGGCTGACTCCTGGCTCTGCACTCAGGAATTACTCCTGGCGGTGCTCAGGGGACCATATGGGATGCTGGGAATCGAACCCGGGTTGGCCGCGTGCAAGGCAAACACCCTACCCACTGTGCTATCGCTCCAGCCTCACTCTCGCTGTTTGTTTGGGAGCCGGAAGTGGCAGTGCTCAGGGATTATAGGGTCCTGGGACTCGAATGTGGGTCAACCACGTGCGAGGCAGGCGCCCTCCCCGCTGTCTTATGCTCTGACCCCAGGATATCAGATGTTTTGGCAGATCTTGCTGAGGAATCAAGGGACACGATACCCCTCGGATGATGGCCCCAGATATCCCAGCTGAGCTATGAGAGCCCCAAATGCAAGCAGGGAACCAGACCACAGGAAGAGGCCTGGGGAGGGGGGAGGACCAGGTTGGCTGCCTACGGGGAGAGCAGGGCATGTTCACCCTTGCTCACTTGGGGGTCTCCCCAGGAGCTGGGAAGGTGACGCATCTCTGGTTCTGCAGTCAATGGATGGACCCCCCCAGCTCCCAGCCCCTTGTGGTAAAGCAGCCCAGACATCATGCAGTGTCTCCCCAGATGGGTCCCAAATCTGTAGCCCTAGAAACTGCAGCCTCAAGAAATCCAGTTCTTGGGGTCGGAGCGGGGAGGGCGCTGGCCTTGCAGGCAGCTGACCCAGGTTTGATCTTCAGCATCCCTCTGGGTCCCCTGAGCACCATCAGGAGTCACCCCTGAATGCAGAGCTAAGAGTCAGCCCTGAGCATCGCTGGATGTGGCCCCCCAAACAGAACAAAACAGACCAAGCGAGTTTCAGGCTGGAGTGATAGAATAACGAGGAGGGCGTTTGCCTTTCACACGGCTGAGCGAGGTTTGATCCCGAGCACCCCACAGGGTCCCGAGTCCTACCAGAAGTGATCCCTGAATGCAGAGCCAGAAGTCAGCCCTGAGCATCGCCAGGTATGCTCCCCACTCCAAAAAAAAAAATTAAAAAAACCCGCAAGTTTTGAGGTTGAAGAGCTAAGACAATAAGTCTCGCAAAGGGCTGCTTTTGGCTCAATTTCCAGCCAAAATTCCTAGTGGGGTCCCCTGAATCCCACTAGATATGATCTCCAAGCAGAGACCCAGGAATAAGCCCTGAGCACTGCAGGATGTGCCCCCCCCCAAAAAAAAACACCAAAACCAAAAAACAACCAAACAAGCCAAAAAGCAGGTTTCAGGGTGCTGGGAGAGAGGTCAAAGGCCTGGCACGCACAAGGCCCCAAGTTTGATCCCCAACACTGTATGTCCCCTTCAAGCACAGCAGGGTTTGGCAGCCTCAGAGAGCTGTAGCCCAGCGATTCTGCCTCTGCTCCCCAGGCTGTGTGGCTTTGGGAAAGTTACTTGCCCTCTCTGAGTGTTACTGTCCTCAGGGCAACAGGCTGTTTGTTGAAAGCGCTTGGCAAACCTCCCAAGGCCCCAAGTGGGAGAAGGGGGGTGGAGCTGGCCGTCAAGGAGGGGACAGTCCCTTCTCAGGCACTGGTGACAACCGGCAAGAATAAACACAGCTGCTGGAATGATGAGGGTGGCAGAGGTGTCGTGGACATCCTGTGGCCCGAGAAGGTGGACCAGCTGGTTTGCTGGCGGCAGTTGGGAAACGCCAGAGTCCCAGCTGACCAGCTCGCCCCCCCCCCCCCCCCCCAGGGCCACGCTCCTGAGTCTGGGGTGTGGCGGGACTTGTAAAAGCCCATCTGGGCTTGGGAGACCTGATCATTGATTCACGGGGGG